GGTTAAGCTGGTTGCTTCTCTCTCTCTCTCTCTCCCCGTTTTCCTCCCGTGGGTGTTTTTTGGTTTCCTCATTCGCTCTGCAGCAACACTCCTTGTACCTAAGGTAAAGATCCCTGCAGCGCCCAAAAATCCTGTGGCGTTCGCTCATCAAGTGGGTTAGTACCAGAATAATTGTAATGTAAAAGTGGGGACAGAGATGTGGTGAACCTGGAACATATGAGGGTGGCAGCTTGGAGGTGCTGTTTGACCCAGCCTGCTCAGGTGTGCTCTATTCCGGTGTGGTGCCTATGGCATATAAGGGGGAAATGAGCTTGGAAATGCTGCTTGACCCAGCCTACTGAGTCCAGGGACATATAAGGGGTCAGCTTGGGAGTGCTGATTAACCCAGTCCTCTGAGACGCGCTCTGTTAATGTGTGTGTTGTCTGATTCTGGGGCTGGAAGAACCCAGCCCTGGGGAACCTAGGTCCTGCAGGTTAGCTCTATTGGGAGAGAACTTGCAGCAGGGAAAAGTAGAGTTCCGTATGAGAACACAGGTGACACAAGCAGTACATTGATAGAATTACAGAACCCCCCCCTCCCCTCCCCAGAAGAGAACCCTAATAAATGAGCATACCCCAAAGTAACGGGCAAATCTGGTAAGGCTTTTCCTACATATCGGGGGAAATATTCCTTTAGTATTTAATTATCTGGAAGAAATTGTCTGTCATTCATTTTACAGGGATGATCGCACATGTGTGTTCCACATAGAACCACTGTCAAAATAAGGCTTTGATTTATGAGGCCATTGCTTTCCATTTTAGCTTCATGAACCTTTGACTCTTTTTTTAATCAGCTAGACAGAAACAGATCACAAATCTAAGCCTTAGAAAAAGGATATAAATGACCAAATTTTAAAGGGACAAGGTGGGTAGGTAATATTTATTAAACTACCTTCTGTTGGTGAAAGAGACACATTTTCGAGCCACATAGACTTCTTCAGATCTGGGAAAGGTACTTTGTGTCAGCTGAATACAAGGTGGCATAAATTGTTTAGCATAAATAATTAACATGTATTTTAAGGTGACGTGGCTTGTTAACAACACTGGAGTCATAGGACAAAAAAGGGGAGTTATTGGGTGCAGATTGTTGTAATGAGCCATAAATCTAGTGTCTTTATAAAGACCATAATTTTTAGTATCTGGCAAAATAATGAATTTAAGCTCCCGGGCTTGTCTTCCAAAGATGTTTTGTAGCTTTCCTTTGAGAACGAAGATTGAGAAGTCAGCTACAGAGTGATAGTTTTGTGAAAAGTGTTTGCCCATGCGTGACATGTTTTTGTCTTTTATCATTTTTCTGTGCAAGTTCATTTGAGAGCATAGTGGTGGTCAGGTTTCACCAACATAGTTGTTATTGGGGCATGTGGTGCACTGGATAAGGTACACCACTTGTGATAGACATGTGTAGGATCTTGAAAGGTGTGTTGTGGGGGGTGGAACTGATCATGTAGCAGTGAAGACATGTCTGCAGGTTTTGCATCTGTTCTGGCAGGGTCTGGTGCCAGTTTGAGTTTGTGAGTACTGATCAGTGGGGAGGATGCTTCTGATGATGAGGTTGGGTGTCGAGGGGGTGGGGGTATTGAAGTCCAGAAAAGGGGTGTTGGGAAAGATTTCTTTCAGAATATATGGTTCCCATTAACTGTTTAATTATATCCCATGTGGGTCTCAATGTGTGAGGGTAGGTGACAACTAGGAGTGTGTGGTTGGAGGGAGGTTGTCTCTTTCACCAACAGAAGTTGGTCCAATAAAAGATACTACCTCCCCCACCTTGTCTCTCTAATCTCTCTTGGGACCAATATAGGAACTGCAAACAAATTTTGACGGGAATTTTAAGGGAGGTGGAATTACAGTGTCCATGATAGATTAGGTCTAGATTTAATCTCTGTGGATGCAAACTGATGATGTTTGCTGCAATAACCTTTTCTCCCCAACCCAGCTGTGATGGAGTGGGGGCCAGCCTGACATCATCCTTCCCTAGGTGTCCTGCAGGATAGGGTAGATTTACTTTCCACTTGGATCTTTGTAGGAGCCCCTTCCGGGGAAGTGGCCCAAACTACCGTATCAATGTTTCCCATAAGTCTGGCCCCACCTTCCTGTGGGCAATGATTGCTGGTTCTGGTCTCTCCAGTAGAGGGGGTTACAGGTGATTTGCTCTTTTGACCAGCTTACCCTGTGACGGGATTCCAAACTGGCTTCTGCCAGTGAAACTCAAGGAGTTATCAAGCCCTGAATGTTTGTATCTATAGGTTCTGCCATGCTTTTATTTGGGTATATCGTTTTCCCTCTCATTCCCTTTTCCTTAACAGAAGCTGCTTTCAAATTGGCCATTAGAGGAGGTGTAGGAGGAGCAGACCTCCCTTCCACGTCCAACCACAGCAGCTGTGTGATGCCTCTGAGCACCTCTCACTGATGGTGAGTTTTCAGGACCCTACTTTTTTAACATCCCACCTTTTTACCAGGACAGAGCAGAGAGAATATAGTGGAATCCTCTGCCCAAATGTAGGGGCAAAACTGAAAAGGTAAAACAATAGGCGTTGCAAATAAATCCAGCTACCTTCTCACAAAATAGAAGAGAAGATAAGATAGGGTTTACATGATTGCTGGAAGGAAAAGAAAAGTAATAGCTATATTTCCATACACTCAACTAGGGACTTAAAGAAATCCCCATGCCTGGGAGGTACACTGAAATCAGGCAAAAGTGACTGTAATCTGGCTACCGTGCTTTCTACAGGAAAGAAAGAGGGCACTATGGAGGATTTAAAGGGACACTTCCAGGTTAAATTTGACCCTAACTTCAGTTAGTTCTGGAGAAGATTATGCTCACCTAATGGAAATAGTTCCATTGTTTTGTTTAGTTCCAACAAAGACAATTTTTAATAAACCCAAATGCTCCATCACTAGACCAGATTTTCAGGTAGCATAAATCAGTGACATCTAGTTCTGCAGGTTTAGACCAGCTGAATATCTGGTTCTAATGCATGTAAACTTGAGTGGAAGTGATAAGTGTAGTACAAACTAATTTAATATCATAAAATGAAGTGATATTATAAATATTAATATATTCTTATTTTCCATGTCCAAGATAAGAGAAATGCACAAAACAGAGTATCAGCCAAGCAAAAGAAATGAGACGTTTAAATTTCTTTCTGTTTTAAATGACTAGTTATGGGATCTAGGACCTAGGAAAGGAAATGTCCTTTTAATTATTCATAATTAGTATTTCAGAGGAATATAGTTCCACTATTCCATCAACCATGTTTGTGCTTTCTTCAACCCTGCCACTTACGGCTGGAACACCCTCCATGAACTAATCAGTAAGAGCCCTACCACTTTCTCCTTCACATCCCTTCTGAAGATCTGTTTTCTGCCTGATGCCTGCAAGAAAACACACAGTTAGACTAATACCCACTTGGCAAAAGTCAGTGTAATTACAAACAAACAAACCCATAGCAAGTGTATACACACATATATAAAATGGTGTATATTTGATTTGCTCCTTCTTCCCAATCCTGCATTTGTTGCTTGTCTGCTCCATCACCAATCCTGCAAAACATATGCATGCAAGAAACTTTTCTTACCATTCATGGAAAACTGGTGGCAGGGCTGAGGCCTCATATAGTAGACCACTGGCAGCACGTCTCAGACCTCAGGTCAACTGACTTCCAGGGCTCACACTATCAGACTAAAAATATCATTGTAAACATTTGGGCTCAGGCTGGAACCTGGGCTCTGAAGCCCAATCAGACCCTAAGCTCCAGTCCAAGCCCAAATTATCTACACTGTTATTTTTAGTCCCATAGTGTGAGCCCTGGAAGTCAGTTGACCTGAGGTCTGAGAATTGCTGCCTCTTTTTTGGGGGGAGGGGGGAGGCTTGCAGCCTAGACATACCCATAGATTGCACACTCTTTAGGGCAGGGGAACCTGGTCTACCTTTCTGCTTATACAACACCTTGCACATGGGGATCCAATCCTGATATGGGTCTCTGAGCACTACTGTAATATAATTATGATCTAAACCCAAACATAGGATAAAAGGTCAAATCTTGCCCACCCTTTTTGCCAAATTGCATCATTTATTACCTCGTGAAACTTCATTGAAATCAATAAGATTGTGCCTGGCAGTGGGCACAATGAGGATTGGCAAAGTCGGACTCCAAATTTGCAGTTTACTGTGATGTAAAAGCTGGTTCACTTAAAACAAATCTTATTTGTTATTGCATGCAAAAAAGGTCACTTTTACAGGAGGGCTTTGTAGTATATTTGATTAAATGGTGCCACTGCCATTCCTTTATAGCTATACTGTACTTCTAGTCATACTTGCAAATAGCCCTCTTATGCAAACACCTCCATTTTGACCAATAACCAGAGGAGAGAAGGGAGGGACGCTTAGCTAGCTTTGTATACGTTGCCAGGAAACATTTGTAAGCACCAAGAACAAGAAAAGCAAAGGACTCTGTACGTTCCTTTAGTTTAAACTCTTTATTCGAGAGTAAAAATAGTTGTAGAGCTTACCAAAGTGTTCTGCGAAAATAATGGAGTTATAATCACATACAATCACAACATTAAATATCACATTATTAATGACAAGGTAAGTAAAATGGATTTTAAATAGCTGACTTTCTAATGCATATTTAGATATCAAATAGAAATGTTTGTATACTTGCTTTCTGTATTAGTTAGTTACAATCAAAGGCAGCCAGGTACATCGTACCTTTAATAAATAGAATGTTGGAGAGTATCTTTAATGGTCTGGTATGTTATGAAATAAAATTCAAAGTCAAGAGTTAAAAATGTTTTTATTGTTTTATTTAAATTGAACTTTTCCCTCTTTATATACGTTGTCTCAGAATTTGAACTATTGGATTTCTACAAAAAAAAACCCTAAAAAAAAATATTTTTCTTAAAGGACAAGAACTGAGTCAAATATGACCCTATGTGCCAGAAGATGTTAAAGTGAATCAAGCATGAGCTACCCACATCTTTCACTTAACGACTCCCAGCCCAGTGCTGGGTGTCTGACCTCAGACAGAACAGAAGACACTGCAGCAATGAAAAATGTTGTGGAACAACTTGAAAACAGACTAAGTATTTATGATTTTATGAAAATGCAAGAGATTTTTATGGTAAGTGAGTTTCCTAATTAAAATATTAATTGAAAGGATTTTGAGTTGCTTATCAAGGAAATATAGAAAGCATTATCAATAATGTTTATATTGTCGTATGGTATCAAGAAAAGTGGGTCTGTGTCTGCATAAGGAAATATAGGATGTAGAAACAGACAAAATTCTCTTAGTTGGGTGTGAATCCAAGATTAGGACAAGAAGCGATGGGCTTAAATTGCAGCAAGGGAGGTTTAGGTTGGACATTAGGAAAAGCTTCCTAACTATCAGGGTGGTTAAACACTGGATAAAATTGCCTAGGGAGGTTGTGGAATCTCCATTATTGGAGATTTTTAAGACCAGGTTAGACAAACATCTGTCAGGAATGGTCTAGATCAGTGGTTCTCAAACTAAGGCCTCCGCTTGTTCAGGGAACGCCCCTGGCGGGCCGGGCCGCTTTGTTTACCTGCCACGTCCACAGGTTCGGCCGATCGCGGCTCCCACTGGCCGTGGTTCACCGCTCCAGGCCAATGGGGGCTGCGGGAAGGGCGGCCAGCACGTCCCTTGGCCCGCGCTGCTTTCTGCAGCCCCTATTGGCCTGGAGCGGTGAACCGCGGCCAGTCGGAGCCGCGAACTGCGGCCAGTGGGAGCCGCAATCGGCCGAACCTGCGGACGCAGCAGGTAAACAAACCGGCCCAGCCCACCAGGGGCTTTCCCTACACAAGCGGCGGCCCTAGTTTGACAACCACTGGTCTAGATAATACTTAGTCCTGCCATGAGTGCAGGGGACTGGACTAGATGACCTCTCAAGGTCCCTTCCAGTCCTATGATTCTATGATTAGAAATACTAGTCAAGTGGGGGGGAAAAAAAAAAAAACAGTAATCAGGAATAATCTCACTGCCTAAAAGTGAGGCAACCAAAGAAAGGTTTATCTTTTTTCTTTCCCAGGTGTGGCTTTAAATAAAACTCCCGTACGTATTCAACATGACACAATACAACCCTAGCTTTAGGCAAACAAGGGGCCATTGACCTAGCACTACTCTTCAGGAAGCCATGCTACTTATCTCTGCAGCCATGACTCAGGCAAATACTGCCCACAATTAGAGATGAGACAGAATCGGAAACTTAGATGATTTTGAACCTATTCCAGTTTTAGGCAGATTCTGTGGCTCAGACTTAAATTCCTGGATTAGAACCCATCTGTTTTGGTGCTGTGTTGGATCTAGGGGAGAAAGGGGCCTGTTGTCTGGTTGAGATGCAGCCAAAATACCACGAGTAAATGGTGGAAATCATATGAAAATACCTGATCTCATGAGATTTCTGCCCATTTGGAGCTGAAATGTCACAAAAACATCTTGTGATTTTGGGAGTCATTTCATTGGAGTCTTGATTTGCTCCTAAATCTGAGACGTGTAGGGCGGGGGTAAATTCTGATGTCAGTTACACCAGTGTAAAATTGGAGTATCTCAACTGACTACAGTGGTCTCAGGATTTACAGTTTCTCCAGATTATGCCTGTGTAAATTAAATCAGAATCTGACCCACTTCCTATCTCTAATCATGACACCTGTTGTTGGAGTGCAGTGGGCAAAACATTTCCATGAAAAATAATGACATTTGCAGTGGCCCAGTTGCCTTGAGACAGCAAGACAGCACTCTTCACTGCTATACAAGGTGCCTGGGCTTGAGGCCCCTGTCCATGTCACACAGCAATAACCCTTTCCCCGAGCTGATTAAGAAGGGGCTCTGACATGCGCCTAGGCGTGTCCCAGTAAATGGTCAGATGCAAAATTATGACAAAGACACAGGGATTTAGGAGGTTGAGTGAAGAGGGACCAAAAAGGGATTTTTTTAGGGGAAAAAAAGAGTTGTTCAGAGTTCCAACTTAGATTCAGTGTTTTCCTGTCCTCAGACAGAATAGCTTTTCTTGATGGTAAATATGTTCTCTTGGGTGAGCAGACCTATTAGCAGTTGCCATCAATAATCTCCACAGGAGCTGCATTCATAAAGCAGAGTCTTAGGGTTTGTCAACATGGTGCGGGAAAGTGCTCTACAGGGGTGTGATTTGTAGAGCTCTCTAACTGCCTCATGTAGACCCTGCTGGCATGCTCTTTTCAGTACCTTTTAATGTGTGCCAGCAGGGTCTACATGGACCAGTTAGAGCACTCTACAAATCACACTCCTGTAGAGTGCTTCACTGCATCATGTAGACAAGTTCTTACATAAAATGTGGGCTGCATCCATGAAGCATTGTAGCGGGGCAGTCACCCCGCTCCGGCTCTGAAAGGGTTAAAAGCCAGCTCTAGGAGAAGGATGGGGCTGAGAGGCAGCCAATCAGGGCTTGCCAAGCCAGTATAAAAGAGGGCAGACCAGAAGGGGTAATCGGTCTCTCTCTTGCTTTGGAGAGACATGGACCTAGCTGCCTGAAGGAGCAAAGAATACCTTGGACAGAGCAGTGCTGGGGAAGGGGCAGACTGAGCTGGGGAGCTCAGGCCTGGTGACCTCCCAGGCTGAGGCCTGACAAGAAGGCCTAAGGAGGTACTAGGGTTGCAGGGAGAGGCCGCAGGTCCAAACTCCCTTGCCGATGATGAGTGGCCAATTCAGATTGCAGTTTGCCCCTGAGGGAAGGGGCTAGATGAGGACTAGCAGTGGGTCACTGAGGCGAGGTGGGCTTAGGGGATTGGGGTTCCCAAGGGAGGGGAGACCCAGCGTGTGGGGGCACTGCTGTGGGGCAGCACCCCACGGTAAGGGGCACCAGGGACCGGGAAGGACGCGGGGCCTGAAGTGCTTATAAGTGGTGAAGATCAGGAGGAAGCAGGCACTGGTAGGAAGACACAGGCCAGCAGGAGGCGCTCCGAGGCTGGAACTAAGCTAATTCCCAGACGACCAGCAGGAGGCGCCGTGGCGGGTGAGTGCTCGACCTGTTACAAGCAGACACAGAATTAGGAATGGGTGGGCTTGTGCCTTAAAGCACTGGATTGGGATTTGGAAAATCTGGGGTTTATTCTTGGTTCTGAGAGGTTTAATTCATGAAGGTATTCAGATACGATAATTATGAGGGGTGGAGTGGGGGATAACGTGCTCAGATAGATAAAGTGACAAAGTAGCCCAAAGAAGAGAGTCCTATGACACTGCAAAAGGAAAAATACCCGTTTTTTTTGTTTGTTTGTTTTTTTTGGTACAATATAATTCTCCTTTCACTTGCAGTGGTGTATATCTGGAGTAACTCTGGTGAAGTTGGCAGAGATATACCAGTGGTTTAAATGAAACTGGTTTAAATGAGAGGAGATTCAGGCCTGATAGCTCTGTAAGAATAGCCAAAATGTTCTAAACCTACTTGAATAGGCCTCTGTGAAACCTAAGCGCTGAAGAAAAAAAAATCTGAACTGAGTCTTACTTACTGTTTATATACTGCTGTGAGTAATGGATGTTTTCAGGTAAACTACTCCTGAGCCCAATTCATTTGCACAGAAATGTTTCCTGTCACTCAATATCTAACTAAGAATTCCACAGGTGATCTGAGTTAGACTTTTCAGAGAGGAAATATGTTTTGCCCACTTCATGAGATTGTAGATTTTGGCACAGCAGAACTTTATTTTATGAAATACAAGCAATAATACCGCCTGAAGATGAAACTGAGGATCAACCTGTTGACCCCTCTTCTGTGTGGAGGTGCTTCTCATGAACATGGAAGCAACACTGCTGTAATTTCCTGCCAAGATACAGTACGATAAATACGGAAGCAGCAGGCATTAGCAGAGTAACACCCAGGGAAGGTACAGCTGAGGCAGAGGAAGCTATTGTAATCACGTACTTCATTAGACCCAAATTAAACCACCTGCCTGACACAATGGAATAATTAGATCTCAAAAGCTCTATCTGACCAATCATTGCTTATTGAGATGTCCAGTATTACGGGTGACCTCACACTAGTGCTTCATTTGAAAGGATGTTGAGCCCAGCAGGACATGCTCAGTGATCGCACTACATGCTTTACAGGGATTAAAAGAACTTGTCTGCTATTGCTCTTCATTTGCCAATTACCAATATCGACACACACAAGAAGATACCACTTTAAATAAACTGTGCATAGCTACCATTTTCCCCAATGCAGAATATACACTGCACATACAAAATGCAAGACAGAGACAGAGAAGGATCAAGTACAAACATCTTGACAGCTCAGAGAGCCTTTATTTAGTGATTGCAACACAAAATCATTGGTTTTAGCTTCACATGAGATAAAGTTGCCTCTGAGTGTAATTTTTGCTTTTAAGGCAAAAAAGCATTTGTGGCCTTTGGGTCTTAATGTTCAGGGCAGATGGACTGGATTGCATGTGGATCCCCTTCCTGTCTGTAGCCGTGCTGTGCTAGGCAATAGCTTTACCTCAGGGGTATAATTTTTAGTGCAGGCTTCTTATTTATTTCCAGTTGCTCTGCTTTTGTGGCCTTCAAGACTGCTTAAAATGGATGGAGTTCATTTTGTGGAACATACACCTGCAAACTACCATTTATTTTCATAGCTGCCGTCACTGGGTTTCCTTTTGTGTGTGTTCAGCCTAAGAACAGCAATTTCTATTTCTCTCCAGACTATCAGTCACTGTCCTTTGAGCCTAATTTTGGGAACAAATGGAATGGTGCATCACCTAACATGCTTAAGATACATGGACTTTACTATGGGTATGGTCCAGCTGCAACCAACCATCATTTCTGTTTACCTCCAAGCTATCTGTCACTTTAAATCACATTTCTGGAACACAATTTGTAGAGGGTTGCAATTTGCTGAGTTGCCTTTAGTAAGTCTAATTGTGTATTTTATATCTATCTAAAAACATGCTTTAGAACTTTCTGAGAGTCTTGTGAGTGATATGGAAGCAAATTTCAACCAAATTAAATTTTGTTTGATAAATTATACTCTCAAATGCATTCACTCAATTATTAGTACTTCTGGCCACTCATATTCATCAAAATAATTTGTAGGAAACAATTACATAAAAATGAATATGAACACATTAGCCTTTACA